GTAAGGGTGAGTGTCAAATATAGATTTGCTTTAGCCTATTTTCCTCATTTTGAAAAAAAAAATTGACCTATGAGATCATCATGCTTTCTGTCTCTGTGTATCTTAATGAAGCTCTGAATGTATATCATGGCATCTGAGCCCATCTCAGTGGCATACTTCATAAGTTCCTCCTTTCAGTCTGTGTGTCTATATGTGTATCCCACTATCAATACTAGGCAACATCTGGGTAAAAACATTACCACAGCAAGGAATACACATGCACAACAACCGAAACATTGTTGGACGCTTTTATTTTCTGTGTCATCCATGTCACATCAAAAGAAAGCAGACTTCCAGTTGAAGAAAGCAGTCTTCTGCGATTTGACACCGTGTATATGTGGTGTTAACCGACGTTTCGGAGGAACGTATCGCCTCCATCTTCAGGGTAGAAGGAAGAATATAAGAAATCCGCAAGCGAAGAGACTGTGAGAACTGGTAAAGAAGACTGCTTTCTTCATAGTCACCACCGTGAAAGCCTCAAATCTTACACAGACTTTCAGTTCTTTCAACAATTTCTTGTATATTTCTGTTCAGAACCTGACAGTATTGTCACATGTTCGGAACCCAGAAGAGATACTTCCATGGAAACGGTAGACTAGACCGTTGCATAGGAAATAACAATAGCAGTATTGTAATTCTGACAGGAGTCTCCACGGTTAAAATAGAACGTTCAATGCACAGCAACGGCAGCAGATATATGAGAAGGCAATACATTCGATAAGACAGTCTCAAGGGACTCGGACCCAAAAAAGACTGCGCTGGCAAGGGCCAGCAGCATATATAAAAGACAGACCCGTCCTCTCATCAGAGAGGGCGCTCCTCAAAAACAATACCGTAAATGTCAAACAGTAAAAAATATCTGGTCATGAGCCACAGATGGGGCTCGACACCAAGGCTTACTGACTGACTGACTGACCGTCAGTCGCAATGTGACTTTGACTTGATAAGGTAGTCTGGAAATAGCCGCCACCGACAGTCGAGAACTAGCCTTCATACGACAGTTGAGATCTAGCCTTCATAGGCTACAGTTGAATCCGAGCCTTCATACAAGACAGTCAGAATCTAGTCGAGATGTCGCAGACATGATACCACAAGCGATAATAATTGTATGGTGTATAAGTGTGAGTGTCCAATAGATTCGCTGAATCCAAGACCCACGTGAATTTATTTGTCGCGTGACATACCCAACACGTGACAGTAATTAACAACAACAGATTTGTCTTTTAAATTACATATAGGGATCTTTTCAGCAGTAACAAATCTACTAGCACTGCTTATTGACACGATTCTTTGTCTTGCAGGAGGCTGCTACTGGGAAATGTTAAATTTCACTGTAAATGTAGTTAGTGTGAAGGATTCATTTCCCACCTTGCCAGAAGAGTTGTCTTATATTCATATTTTCAAAAGGAACAAAATTTTATTTCTGTTGAAGAACAATCTTCACACAGTTACTAAATTTCGTTAGTACAAAGTGTAGTTATATCATTTCACAGCTGAGCAATGTTTCCAGTCTGTAGAGGTTGACCTTGTATCATTACATTGTTGTGAACATAGCATTCCATTCTTTATTTGCATCTATGCTAAACATTTTTAGTTACACTTAGAATGACATAAGTTCCAACAATACATTACCAGCGCACACTGTTCATGAATTCAAAATTCTATTAAGTACTCAAGACTGCATGAAAAATTTATTATAAACAAGTAACCACATACGCAAAGTGTCACACCTCACTTATAATTGGGACGGGATATCTACATAACTTGCTGTTACATCAACAAATGAGGGCATTAAAGCCTTCAAACAAAACATATAATACTGTAATACTGTTGGATTTATTCCGCTTATAGACATGTAATTACAGCACTACCGCTAATTTCCACATTTTATAGTTCACTGTTACACATACTCGTGTCCTGAGACTATTACTACACACCGTCTGTTTCCTGACCATGGATTTTAACACAACAACTTCTGACAGTATCACTGAATTACTCCATATATCACGGTACTACACCACCCCTACAATGGCTCCCTGCAAACGTACAAGGCAGTCCAGGTGCTGACCTTGGATTGTATCTTGCTATAGTCAAGCTTCTGATGATATATCTTCTTCATATGACTCTCAGGAGGCCTGTAATAAGTGTTTCTCTGAGACACAACCTTGGCTCTCATTGCCTTGAGATTGGGAGAAGCAAAGCCACCAAAAACCTTGTTCCTTGGGACTTCCTTCTAGGCTGCAGCCTTGGAAGCTACAATGCAGTTTTCCTTGGGTCTCCCTATCTTGAAAGAGGACTCAATGGTTGCTGGATAGCCTACCTTTTCTGTGAGCATCAAAGGCAATCTCTCCATCATAATCTTCACTGACTCAACCTCATTCTGAGAGTGAAAAGGGTGTTCACCCCCCACCTCCATTATTACCAGCATTGTATCTACAATATTCTGGATTTGGAGACGCTGCTCTTTCACTATCTTAGGGACTTGAACAAGGCATTTGCCTTCCACCTTTGTAATTGTATTCATTGAATTCACCTCATTCAGTAATTGAACCAGTTCGTCTTCCACTTTCGTCATCATAAGTGAAACCAACTCATTCTGGAACTGGGCATGTCGTTCCACCAACTTTTGCATAAACGGTACCTTACCTCTGAACTCTAGCATTAAACTTTCACACTCTGCAACACCATCCTGACCTCCTGTTTTGTCTTCTCCTTCCTGTACGAGACCCATCGAAACTTGCAATACTTCATTAAAGAAATAAGGAGAATGATGAAGGTAGGAAGCAAGAAGTTAAGAATCATCCGGAAATTCTGGTCTTGTGATGGTTTAATTCCTCCACTGAAATGTATAGCATGAAGTTCCATTTGGTTTGTTGTGGTGGGGGGTTCCTACTGGACTTTTTTCAGACGCTGCAATGTGTGTGAAAGCTCAGATTGGTTCAGATGCTGCAATTATGAGGAATAATCCTGCTTTGCTAAGAGCCACAAAAAATATGTAGAATACGATCATGATTGATATTTCCAGTATTATCCTCTTTTTTTCTTAATCTTCTAGCCTTGAAACTAAATATGTAGAAGTTATATTGTGCTTCACCAGAAAGGATTTCTGATACCTACATGTGTGACTACACAGCTCCTAAGTTGAACTCACTGGCTTCCAACTGCCGAACTACACTTTTGACACCAGCTGCAATTTGTTTTGGCAACTGGAGATGGGGCTCAGATTAGTAACTGGATTTATTAGATCTTCACTATTCGTAACTACACTTAATTATTACACTATTGCAGCCTTATACCTTTCACACTCAATACACACCAATCTTCTCAGTCTATCTGCAGTAGTTTTCACGTATTTATAACATGGGAACTATACAAGTCTCACTGAACACTCCCATTATCACTGCACTATAGTACACATAGTGTTGAAGTCACACAACATGTCTTCACTGGCTGACTTCTCAGTTATCACTTACTATCACTGACTATTAAAAAGTCAAGTCAAGGTATCCCTATAACAGGCTGTGGAGGCCCACAGGGTTATGAGATGCTGAGGGTCCCACATTTTCAAAACAATCGGCTTATAGATGGCAGCAAGGTTATCAGCCCTACGCGCTGGCTGCCCTTTACACCCAAGAATATTCCTGGTACTCATTTCTGTTAGAGGCTGAGTCAAACCCAGGGCCATAATGAAGCTAGAAGGAGTAGGTCAACTGAAAAAACCAACGATGAACTTGTGACCTTCTGGCTTGTAGCAGTGACTTAACCAACTACGCTACTCCGTGCCCCCTCAATAACTATTCTCTTTTCCTTGGAACTACAGCCCCAGTGGGCCTATGCCTACCTCCATGAACTTCTCCGTTCATTTCGGTTTTTCTAGATCTTACACATTTGGTAGGACTCCTTGGGCGGGTGATCAGCTCATCACAAAGTCTCTACCTGTACACAAACACAGAAAAACACACACACACAAACTAAACATCCATGCTCTGAGTGGGATTCGAACCCACAATACCGGTTTCCAAGCAAGGGAAGACAGTACATGCCTTAGACCACTCAGCTACCATGACTGGCTCAATGACTATTACACTCATAAAATCTTCCAATCACACTTCAGATCCTCTTCCTCCTACAGCTGTCTTGCACCGAACATCAACTGAGAACTGACTGACTCTATCTTCTTAGTCAAAGTCAAAGTCACATTGCGACTGACAGTTAGTCAGTCAGCGAGTCTTGGTGTTGAACCCCATCTGGGGCTCATGAACAGATATTTATTACTGCTTGACCATTAACAGCCTTGTTTTTTGGGGCGCCCTCTCTAACAAGAGGACAGGTCTGTCTTTTATATATGCTGCTGGCCCTTGCCAGTGCAGTCTTCCTCCGGTCTGAGTCCCTTGGGACTCTCAACCATATTTTACTGTCTCAGCTTTGAGACTTCCCTTTTCATCGCCTCCTACGACTCGCAGGGTCATGGTGGAGGTATTCGATCCCGCCTCAACACAGGTTTATCTTCTTAGGACTTCTTGCAGTCTCTCCTATAAACTCTCGATCGGACAAGTAGAAAACGCAGCTTGCTCACTGTTGTGTAGCTGTTGCATCTACAGAGGCATTGCTAGGTGATGCTGCTGAGAGGTGTTTACGGCAGCACTGTGTAACAACGAGCAAAGTGCGGTGTGGCATGGCATGAAGAAGACACTACTTTCTTTATTGTTGCATAATCACCATGTTTACAGATTTCTGTGGCTCAACGATTCTTGCATGGCATAAATACACCACAATACTAATAATACTATGACCACGCTCTTTATTCTTATCATACGATATACACATTTAAATAGTATTTATTTAGACTTACTTTCGAAACAGAAAATACACTATTTCATTATTTAGAACAATTATGAGCACAATATTCCATAATGTTGATGGTGACGGGACAAAACAATGGCCCAAAGTACCATGAGTACCTGTGAATCCTTATTAGCATGCAGTGTATCCATTTCATCCATTCCTTCTATTTGTTCCTCCCACAACACAAGCAAAATACCACACAGGTTTTGAGTTCTGAAAAATCAAAATTAATATCAATTCAGAAATCACAACCAGAAAACTTTAAATCTCACTGGACAAAATGATGGGATAGAGAGCATTATACAAATACAAATAAACTCCTCTCACCTGGGACTTATAATGATGCATCCTGTTGAAATAATTATCAAGAACTTTCAACAGACAGATTAATTATACATGTTTTATAATACAGTCACATTTTATACTTTCTCCTTGTCCGTCTTCTTCTTCTAACAGTATCCTAATAACACAGGAACTGTATGGGAACAATATCCTAGCACCAGTACTCCCGGCATTTTTAGATTGTTTTTAACTTTAAACAACTGGACACAAGAAATAAAAAATACATTCAATAAACAATACTATTTGAGTTCTCTGAATCCATGCTGCATGCAGTGTATATATTCCTTGGTTTTCCCACCCAGCCCTCCTCAACCTCCTAGATATATTATCCAAACAAAACTAAATGACTGTTATAAATCATAAAGCTCCTTATTATGTAATATCCTAAATTTCTCATTTGTCTCATCCTTCTTAAGTGAGGGACTTCATTTAAATGTATCAGTACCTATAGCTATTTCCATCTCTCTATAAAGTTCAATTGCAATATTCATATCTCAACCCAAGATATAACTGGAGCCTCAATAATTCGGTAACTATAATGATTAGGCTATGGGCTAGAAGATGGAGAAAACAAGTTTCTATTTCCATCATGTGTAGAAGTCTCGATTCTCCATGGGGTCCAGACCAGCACTTCCCACCCACCAAACCCCCTATCCCACGAGCACTGGTAGAGACTCCTGGGGTAATGCTGACCACTTCCCTCTAACTAATCCCATGATAATGAATGGTGGATCCATACCTCCAGTCCTCCATACGACTTCATGGTCCGGTGCCTATTTATGCATAGAGAAAACTTTACATTATCACGGGTAAATTTAATGTAGGCTTATTCCTCGGGCTATAAAGTGGTCCAAGGTTCAGTGCAGAAGTTTGTAATTTATGTTTACACGCACAAAATACCATTGTTAGCTAATCTACGATAACCGAGAAAAAAATCAATTTGTATATATTATGACTCTAAAATCGATATCAAAATAACAAAATGTTTGCTGATTTTTTTTGGGGGGGTGGGCTAATAAATCCTCGCCTTACTTACAAAATACTTATGCGCTAGCCCTGTTCTTCAACACGCCATATCGTCACGCTGTTTCAGACTTGGTAACATTCACCACAAAAAAATCATACATACCTTGTACGTATATCTATAACATACCTTAAACGTAATGTGGCTACAGGTTCTTATGTCTTTGATGAAACTACGTTAATCGTGCTCGTAACAACTGCACTTACAGATTGCTCTCCGTTCTTGGCGCTTCTTATCCACTTGTTTGACAAGCCGGAAACCCGGGAAACTAACGTAGGTGAGGAGAAACATGCGTAACTACCGCAGCTACTACTTCTATATCCGGAGGCAGGACTTGTTTACAGCCACCGACCAATCAGAGCCTTAACAAACCAATTTTAATTCCCGCAAATATATGAAATAATGGTAAGTATACATTTTGATTTGATTTGGTTGTGAAACGGGAGTATACGTTTAGGCACGAAATTACATTTCCAGGTTAAATATGTTGTTTATGTATATACTGTTATGCTAACGACAACGAAAGAAATTAGAAATGTATAGAATTGTTTCAAGCCAAACATTTTTGAGGTTATGACGAAATTTAATTCAAACCATATTTGTGGTATGACAAGTACTGCAACTTTCGGTTTAGCCCAAAGATTATAAAATGCCAAGTATTTCTAAGGATACCGTGGTGGTGTTATAATTTGTGTGTTGTTTCTTGCAGTATAAATGAAGAAGAGAACGAAAACTTGCTTTGCTTTTGGGCGTTTGTCGTCCAGTAGACAGGTGGAAGTAAAATTCTTCAACTTTCACAAGGTTCCAGCATGGTATGTTTTAATTCATGGTGTAATGGCTTCCTTACTTGTTGTTTCATCCAAGGAAGAAATTAAGTTTATCTTGTCTGCGTTCAATTTATTCATCATAACCCAAAAATTTAGCGTGTGCACCCGGTTTGTAATGTTACTGATGAATTATTTCGAGGTTTTGAGACAATTTGGTCTACTTTTACAGGGCTGTGGAATGGGCAGGAAAAGTTTCAATTCTGATTCTGCTAGAATGCTGCACAAGAAATATTTGTGCAGCAGACATTTCTTGGAGAGTGATTTCACTACACCTCAAAGAGTACACTTGAACACAGTGGCAGTTCCACATGGCTCAGATGTTGTTTCCCAGTCATTCCCACAACCTCATGTCCCCTTCCTTGAATCCCTTGCCCACATAACATACAAAGACTGTACTCATGTTGTATCCCCCACCACCTACAAGACACTGGTGCCATCCCCTGTATCACATATTCCTATCAATGCACACAGTCCTTCCACTTCCTTTAAAATGTTGGCAGTGCAACCATCACCATCAGCAGCTAACACCTCTGCAGTGAAAGAAACCTTGTTTCCCCTAATCTCTGTAAATATAAATGCTTCTATTGGGGAACTTGGCTATATCAATCATTGCAGCAAGTCACAATGCTCTAGTAACTACAGGTAAGGACCACTGCACTGTATACTTACTATGAATCATGTTATGAAAGACCTGGCTAATGAGAATAATGAGAGCTAGATTTCAGAATTGTCCCCAGAACCCAGGTGTGATCAAACAAACCTCATTGTCATCATCATTCATTACTTATGAAACTGTACATCAATATACAAGTTATGTAGAATATGTCACATGTTTTTAGTATAATTAAAAATGTCTGAAAAGCAGAACACACTATAAGTAATATGATTTATAAGAGAATAAGGTGGTAAAGACTTTGCTATGAAGAATAATTTAATCAGATATACAAAATTTCCATAATGGCAGTACTTTGTAAAGTAACGTGTGTTATTTTCAAATCTGAAGAAGTATGGTAGTCCATCATGTAAGGAAATCCACTAATTTTTTTTTTCAGGAGGGTGCTGTGGTGAATACTTGGCAACAACTGTTTGATTATCACCTCGTGAACACATTTGAAACTATTCGTTCGTACTCTGGTTTGAACAATAACCCAGCTGTGGAACAGTTTGTAGATGCCCTGAAAACTAGCATCATCAATACACTTGCTATCAAAGATCTGTATGAAACTAGTTGTGAGGATCATGGTGCTACTGTTCTGGATATACAAAGCAGAGAACAAAATTATCTGCCACAGATTGTATTGTTACACGGTAACTTACTGACACAAACGTTAACAGGAGAATGGTACTGAACCCATCATTATCAACATGGCTCAAAAGAGCAGAATTTGGAATGTAGATGTGACAGGGAAAGGTTATAGTTGTTACACTGTTTTAGTCGACTTGCAGTATCACATTTATACACTTCATGTCTACAGGAAAAACATATAACAGATTAAAGAAACTAAACCCTAAATACAAACAAATATAAAAATATAACAGCTGTTTCTGCAAGATCAAATGCCACACCTCAGCAAAACAATATAAACCATTAGGAAGTATCGGACTAAATTTATTTTTAAGTACCACATATTTCTAAAAGGAGGTGGAGCCCTTAGAGTAAGACATTTAATTTCCAATCATCTCTTAGTATTTTACATCAAAAGATTAGCATAACTACATTACAATTAACTTTTTTTTTTCACACTGCATTGCATTCCATGCATCCATAGTCAAAAATACTGTAGGATGTAGAATATTTCATAAATACAAAACCTATGTACAGACCCAATGGAGTTCTCACACATGAGAAACCAAGAATACACAGTGACTACACACAAGTCTATTTAAAGATACACAAGTTATTTTCTAGACAATGTGTATTTAAGTATCATTTCAGTGCTATCTTAAATTGTGCCTTTTCATTCATAAGACATTTGAGATCAGATGGCAGGTTATTAAATACCTCATATACATTACAGTTTCAAATCATGCTGAACATTTCTTCACATGTGAATGTGTATGTCCATAGTATTCCTAAATGACAATGAATTTTTAAATAAAAACTGTCCCCTCTGAAACTACAAGGTCCGTATAAAAAGTATCGGGAAAATAGATTTATTTCAGATATTGCTACAATGCCTCAAAATTCTTCAAAATACATCCCTTGTGCATTAATACACTTTTGCCAACGGCGTTGCCACGACACGAAGGCTCCCTGGTAGGCGGATTCCGGAAGGTCCTTAAGGGCCCGTGTGCAAGCCTCTTCGACGGCACTCAGGGTCCCATGATGGTGCCCTTCGAGGGAGGATTTCACTTTCGGGAACAGGAAAAAGTCTGCCGGTGCCAAGTCGGGACTGTAGGGGGTTGGGGTACCGTCGCGATGCCGTTTTTTGTCAAGTAGTCGGTCACCTTGGAGCAGGTGTGACTGGGTGCATTGTCGTGATGCAATTTCCAATTTCCAGTGATGGCTGGCCTCACCCGATTGACCCTTCTCTTCATTCTTCTTAGCACTTCCAAGTAAAAAGCTCCATTCACTGTTTGCCCCTCAGGTACAAATTCGTAGTGGACCACCCCCTGGGCGTCGAAGAAAACGATGAGCATGGTTTTCATTCTGGATTTGCTCATTCGCGCCTTTTTTGGACGAGGTGATGCCGAAGTGTGCCATTCGGAACTTTGGCGCTTTGTTTCCGGGTCGTACTCGAATATCCAACTTTCATCTTCCGTGATGACGTTGTCAAGAAAGCCGGGGTCTTCCTCAATGCGTTGCAGAAGGTCTTCACAAGCAGCCACTCATCTCTGCTTTTGGTCGTCCGTCAAGACCTTCGGGACGAGTTTCACGCAGACCTTTCGCATCGCCAAATCTTCAGTGATAATGGCGTGCACCGTCATCTTATCAGTGCCAACATGATCTGCAATCAGTGCACACTTAACCGACGGTCTGAATTGAGTACGTTATGCACACGTTGTCGTCGGTTCTTGAC